CCAATCAAAAGTGGCAGCTGTATGGCGCCAATCTGATTAGAGGCCCTCTACTCAATCGCCCTCGCAGCTAAATTGCGGGCATGACCGCTCTCAGTCAGGATCCTCTCTGACTACACATCATTGCATGACAAGTAATTTTAGTTAGTGTGAAAGCCGCGTATTTGTGCAAGTAATATAGTTTATTATCTTTATTCTTCTAATTAAGAGGTTTGCTAAAAATAAAAATGGTAGGTAATTATTAATTAATTAATTAACGATTTTATCGATAATTTTATTGTGCTCTGAATTTATTTGATGATTATTAGAAAGAAAATTAATAAGTCACAGAGCGGTCATTTTCATGGTTATGTCTGTTTGCACATAGCAATATAAAAGTATACATAACTACATGGAAATAATAATGATTATAGATGTGTAAGAAAAAGTATTAGTTTTAAAAACAAAAAATATATATAGTTCTTTAGTGTTCAGATTGAATAATATTTAAAGATTAATGTATACTGTACCAATTTTATACAAGTGTCCATTCAAGCTATTCGTACTAAGTATTTTAATAACTTATAATAAGTATTATATTGTACACATATTATAATCGTATGTATAATGTATCAATCAATGATATTATGAAATATTTTATAACATTTGCTTATCTTTAAAATATTAAAATAGGATGAATGAAATTTCAGTATGGATAACCAATGATACATGACATGAAATGTGTTAAATATATAGCTATTATATTAGTGATTGGAGTTAAATGCAGTTTTCAGCCTGATTTTTGTATTGACACATTATTTTCTTCTTGTATTTATATCTTAACAATGAGCTGGATGCACATAACTAAGGCTTGATCTACAATAAGTGAACCTTTTTACTATAAACTGACGATTTTTTCCAGCAAAAAGCATTTCTGATGTTGCCTTAAGCTCTAAGCTCTGAGCTTTAAGCTCTGACATTAATTTGTTCAAACTTTATAGTTAAGGCCATCCATGTACAAAAATTTTAATCATAACTGTAAAGTTGTAAGCATATTGACCCATCACAGTTGGAACATTCTAAAACTGCAATTTTGATTGTGATTAGTCAATTTGCTTATGGCCTTATTACGACTAAAATTTTTGTGATATCCTTTAAGACCTGATCAGTTTATTTAAAGCTTAGAGAACTATTATTAAGTCAGTGACAGAAATGCTTTTTACTAAACAAAAACATTCAGTTCAGAGATTAGAGCAAAAGGTTTACTGTACCTATTGCACATCATGTCTAAAAATAAATTGTAAGGCATACAACATTTTAAGTTTTTTTTATTGCATTGGATTGCACTAGAATTTTATCTTTTTCAAATATCAAACCAGAACAATACAGCATGCATGACCCCTAATAAAGAACTGAAATTTTACTTAAATATATTTACTTTTTATTGCTATCTAAATCTCTATCCAATTTAATTTGCAAATGATATTTATTCATATTTTATTTATACTTTATGAAAGTAATAATTTAAATTTAATAAAATCTTTATATCTAAAATTTAATGTAGAAGTATATAATTATTGGTGATGTTATTTTTTTATGTAACCAAATGGCTTTTATGTATTTAACTTTCTATGGGAGGGAATGGAGGAATACACAATTAATGGCTCATGGGCTAGATCCAGTCCACCAGATTTTCCAATTCAGCTTGTAACGTCCAAACTTGACTTATGGAAAAAATGAAAAATAAATTGAATTATTAATGTAGTACCAAATTATTTTAATATATAACGTAGAACAATATATATACACACACACACATAGCCTATTTTAACAATACCAAACTGGAATACAATGACTTTTGTGAATTAATCTGATTGACTGCATTTTCAAGAATGTTTGCATGCAATTTCTATTAAAACGTGACCAGAAAAAATATAGAAAAATAAGCAAATATGAAGTTGATTCATTACTTGCGACAGTACTTCCGAGACTAAATTTATATATTAAAACTACCTTACTTTCATTCGCAAATAATTTATCCCACTGAAGATGGTTTAATGTAAACGTTATGTTTATATAATTTATTGATAATGTGTTATTGCACTAACAACTTGATTTATTGCTCTTTGTTTGATTCTCATTTTAAATTGTTATTGTATTGTTATATTATTTGTCGTAATATATTATCTAAATTCTAAATCTCTCAAAGCTTTTATAAAATTTATGAACAGATAAGGCCCCTTTGCACTAAGGCCTTAAAAACCAGTTCTGATCAAACATCTATTTATTCATCATATACCTATTTTATTTTAAATATAAAGACTTTGCACTAGTACAATTATAAAGGCAGATCTTTTCAGGTCTCAGGAGCAATAATTGAAGTATTTTTTTCTTGAATTTCTAATTATATTCATAGTATGACCAAAACATGAGATGAAGGTTGTAATCCACCTAATTTTATACTTCAAAGCATTTAATTATCAATCAAAACAAAGAAATCTATGCTGCAAAGCATTTGTAGAGAATTAAATGACCCTAGCCAAAGTATCATCTTATGTTATAATATATATTTTTTATTATTATAATATATACATCCAGTGCATCCAGCGTCTTGTCAAGATGCAAACAAAGAAATGATAGTAAACATTGAAAATCAATTGAAAATTAAAAGTTACATCTTACGTCAATCATTAAAGAATATGTAAATTAAATATTCCTGGCTAGAAATAGGACACAAATACTAATATTAATTGAATAAAAATATGTAAATGATTTCTGTTAATTTTATCATTGAATGTGTTTTTCAGTTCCGCAATCAATACGATAGCGATGTGACAGTATGGAGTCCGCAAGGACGACTACATCAAGTGGAATATGCTATGGAAGCTGTGAAATTAGGATCAGCTACCGTAGGGCTTAAGAATAAAACACACGCCATTCTTATTGCACTAAAAAGAGCATCATCGGAGCTATCAGCTCATCAAAAGAAAATCATACCAATAGATAAACACATGGGTATTAGCATTTCAGGTTTAACAGCTGATGCAAGAATATTGAGGTATACTATTTGTTGATTTTTACTATTCCATTTTCCGTTTCTATTAAAAAATAAGTAAATTTTTTTACTGACTATCTCATGATCCTTTAGCTATGACAAAATCCAGCCATTGCTATACGTATTAGGTGTATTCAATAAACGAAGTGAGCACTCAGTGATTCTTTATTGGTTTCTACTCAGATCCAGCGAAAAACTAAAGGCAAGAACCAATTATATCAAAGAATCATTGAGTATTCATTAGTTTAGTTTACACCGAGCACTTGCATATTAACTAGAAACTTTCCATTAAATTATCTTAATTTTTACAATGCATTTAAAGAATGATGTACTAAGCTGATACACTAGGCATTAAGATGATTAATTAAATACATATATCATGTATACGTTTATATGCATTGTGGAAATTAGGAAAATTTAATAGGAAGTTACTAGTTAGTATGTGTATCAAATGCTCTGTGTAAACTATGTCATTGATCTGCTTTGTCTGCTGAATGCGCTCATTGTATTACATTTTGCTGCGAATAGTATCTAAAGAGAATTTATCTTGTCACATTATGCAATTTATTAGTTTTTCTATTTATCTTAAATCGATAAAAATATTAATGATATTAAAAATTGAAATATTTACACAAATTTTTCCAACACATTTATAATTATGTTATTTGTAAATTTTATTTGTATTTTATTGGCTGTACATTATAGTGGTATGCTGTGATAGTTTTAGACCACTATAATAGCCATACATAGAAATTAGTAGTTTGTACACAGGAGTAGATCTGCAGAAAACTATTATAATGATCGTTAATAGCGAAAGGATTAACTTAGAATAAGAACTTATTATTTGCAGTCGTTATATGCGAACTGAGTGCCTGAATTACAAATATGCTCATGACGATACATTACCTGTGGGTCGCCTGATTACATCTCTGGGAAATAAAATGCAAACATGTACGCAAAGATATGATCGACGCCCGTATGGCGTTGGTTTACTTGTGGCTGGATACGATGTAAGAATTTATTGAAACGTATAATTGATTATATTAACTATAAAAAAATGCTTTAAATATATATGGTTTTCTAATATTCGTTTCTGGTAGGACCAAGGGCCACATATATATCAAACATGTCCATCCGCGAATTATTTCGATTGTAAAGCGATGGCTATAGGATCACGTTCTCAAAGCGCAAGGACATATTTAGAGAAACACCTAAATGAATTTTTATCGTGTGATCTTGATGAGCTAGTCAAGCACGGCCTTAGAGCGTTACGTGACACTTTACCTAACGAAGTTGATTTATCAGTGAAGGTAAGTAGATTTGGCCTAGTTAATATCTTATTGAAATATAGATTCCCGAAATGAGCTATAATCATTGCCATTTCATACTCCTTCATTCAATTTTCAAGTGTTACAAACTATGCAACTATACATCTTTTTTGAAAAACAAATATATATTTTTTTACACCAATTGATTTATCTCATTATTCTGTGCATAAAAGTGTATGGTACAGTTATTAAAAAAAACAATAGTTTACGAGATATTTTATTTAATGTCAAAATGTATCAGAATAAAGTATAAAACATCTCATAATTACATTTCTACTTTATTACTTTTATACTCGTATATAGAATAATTAGAGAAATTATGTAAAAAAAAATCAAACAATGCTATTAGAAAAAATAGCGGTGACTTTCATGTGATCTTTAAAAATCGATTATATGAAAAATTCTGTTTTTATTTTTCGAAAATTGATTTTGTCATTATTTTTTTCCCTTTCATCATACAACTTGTTTAACATTTTTTGCTACGACACAATTTTCAGAGATAATAGCTTGTAACACTTTAAATGCCCTACACACACACACACACACACACACACACACACACACACACACGCGCGCGCGCGCGCGCGCGTTCTCTCTCTCTCTCTTTACGCATATTAAAAAAAAAGATATAACTGTAAAAAATAAAATAAAATTGCAGTACAACTTTTTTTCTGAAAAATCCGATCTTTTACTATTTTTCTTTCTTTTTATCCATTTCTATTATCTATACAGAACATAAATTAATAAAAAACAAGAGTATAAAAATTTAAAATACATTAATATTTAATCTGCACTAGATTACAATGTTACATCCATGTAACATATTTAATTTACTATCAATCAATTTATCCATTACAAATTGAAAAATTATCAACTTCGAAAATATCATTTTTTTAATTATAAATATTAGTATATCCAATTTTATGAAAATGCTTTAAAATATTTTCAATATAATACGATAATGTGTCATAAAAATTAAAAAAACTATTACACTATTCAATAATATGGACAATAATTATGTAAATAAAATAATATTGCGCATTTTTTCACTACCGTATATAAAATCCTTTTATGTTGCCATATGTGCAGCAAATTGTAAAATACCTGTAATAAAAATTTAATACTTAATTTTAAGAACATAATCTTCACTGGAAAAAATTAAATCTTGCTTATGTTTCAGAACGTATCAATTGGGATAGTAGGAAAGGGTTATGATTTCACTATTCTTGATGAAATCACGACAGCTGGTTACTTGTCCCAGATTGAAGGAGATGATAAACGTGGAAGGCCTGCTGATCCTGCTGTGCAAGATGATAGCAGACCTCCGCAAGATCCGCCAACTGATGAAGGTCCTCAAGATCCTCAAGTCGCTATCGCGATGGACACAGATTAAAATAGTAATATAAACTTTATTTGCATTCAATTTACATATAACATAAAGTGCATTTTTTAATTAAATATCTCAATTTTCTAAATCTATAGACGACAAAATATTTATTATCAGTCTATTAATGGTAAATATGTATATTCAGATCATTCTATCATTAAATTGCGATGAATTTCTTTTCGCAAGTCTTTGTTTTTATTGATTTCTTATTGCATCATATCTACACTTCCATTTTTTATTCATGACGTGACATAATCATGAATCTGCTGTTTTTTCCGTTGTTTTAGTATATTTGTCAAGAAGTATTCTCCGGCTTTATATGACGATCGAACTAACGGACCGCTGGCGGTATACAAGAAGCCTAGTTGATTCCCCATATTTTCCCACATTTTAAATTTCTGGGGTGTTACATATTCGATGACTTTTAAGTGTCTTTTGGTGGGTTGCATGTACTGTCCCAATGTTACAGCATCTACACCAGCATCCCTTAGATCTCGCATAGTTTGCTCGACTTCCTGGTCAGTTTCATCCAATCCCAGCATTATCGACGACTTCGTAATTAAATTGGGGTTAAACTTTTTAGCTGCTTTTAATACGGCCAGCGACTGTCTACATACAATAAACGACAAAATTAATTCCAATTAACAAACGTAAATATGTATTAATAAATATATATCTATGAGGATATATTAGGCATACCTATATTGAGCACGCATATCACGGACAAAGGGAGTTAAACGTTCGACGGTTTCGATATTATGCGCAAACACGTCCAGATTAGAATTTACAATCGTAGCGACGCAATCTTCATCACCTTTGAAGTCTGGCACCAGACATTCCACTAAGATGTTACTCCTACAATGAAACAAAGTATTTCTACAATGCGATATGATTTGAGCACTAGTTGCTTTATTGCTTTGTTCCATTAAATAAAGATTAAAAGAGCAATTGTACAGGTAAGATACCTCTTTTTTATTTCCTTAACAGTAGATGCAATATGACTAGCTCCACCATCCTTTAAATCTGAAATAATTAATGATGCGTTGAATTCTGGATCTACAATTGTTTAGTCTGCAACATTAATCTGTATGTAACTAACCGTCACGATCTACGGATGTTAGAACGACATAATCTAAACCCCAGTCCACTATTGCGCTAGCAGTATTAACAGGTTCTTCTGCATCCAACGGTGGTGGTTTACGTGCAGTTTTGACAGAGCAGAAACGGCAACCACGAGTGCATGTATCTCCCATTAACTAGAGAATTTATCCATTGTTATTTCAGCACGATTTTATTGATTTATTTATTCTCTACAATTTTAACATCTATTTGACTCAACACTGCAATGGATTGTGTAAACAAATCTGCATTTGTACAGCTAAACAGTAATTTCAGATTTTTGCAAGAAACGTTTTTACATATAGCTCGGTCGATAGTAAGTATAGTGAGCCTTTAATCTTCTGCTCTAAACTCTAAATTGTAATGTTTTTTTTCCTCTAAAAGCATTTCTGGCTGCCTTAAGCCATAATCTCTAAGCTTTATGTGAGCTAGCCAAATTACAGCTGCAAAATTTACAGCTTAGAGTAAATTAACAATTCATTCACAGTTCAAAGCTAACAGAAAAAGGCTAGAGACTTACTATTATACTATTATAGCTAGAGTACATTTCATGCATGATACATATGACATAGTATTTTATCTTTGTTCATTAAATGTTAAATAAGAATAAAATGATACATCATGTGTACAATGAAATGAAACATACTTCGAATCTGATGGAATGCAAGGTGTGAAGGCTAAACGTTTATTAGAAAGATTAAAAATTCAGTTATACACCAATATTTTTTGATTTTATATAATTTCAAATGGATTAGAATTAGTTGCCAATTAGATACCAATACCAATATGAAAATAATAGTAAGCATGATTATCAATATAAAACTACTAGTAAAATTATTTTGATATTCAGTCCTTCATTTATTATACAAACCATAATAGTAGCTGTTGCAGTACCGTGACTACTTCCACCCCAACATTCTCCGATATTAGGACACCTGGCTTCCTCGCAGACCGTACTTAGCCGTAATTGTCTCAGCTGAGCTTTTATCCTACTGTAACTCTCGCCCATAGGTATCTCTGTTTTCAACCATGGTGGTAGCTTCAGCCGTCCTGACTCACCTATTTCTAACTTTAACTTGCCATCATATTCTTTATTGTCGTTCTTGAGAAAGTCTTCAAATTGCGGACCATTCGCTAGCTTCTCGGAGAATTCTTTATTACTCTCTGTTGCAATCCGCGCATACTGCAGTTATATTTTTGTCAAAATTATTCCAGATACGATTATTTGTATAACTCAATATTGGGAATAAATAAGGCCTGAGACTAGATAAAGATGTTTATGTTTAAACATCCTCCAGAATTTAAAGAAATTGTTGAAACTTACTGTCAGGTAAAAGTGGCTGCCGAAAGTGCATTTAGGATTCGCGGCGCTAAGAATCCGTAACATGTTTATTCCAAGAAAAATTTTATCAGTCGGCTATAAGAAACAAGCAACTCATGTTTTCATAACGATTCTAATTTCGATTGACCTGTGTCGCGCGTTTTAAAAGATTCCTTAACTTATTAAATATATTCCATATATTTTAAAGATACAAGTATATTACAAGTATATTACAAAGAGTAAAAACTCTTTAGTGTGTTACATTAATGGTCCTTGATGTCCCCCTCCCCTCCTTCTTTACGTAAATTGATATCAGGCATCAGCTGCTACGTGCTGCCATGATGTAAGAAAACATATAGATCGCGGTCCGATCAAAGAGTTTATATACATAGAGTAGAAGAGACATAGCGGCGCTGAGCGGCGCCTTTGACTGGAAACATGAGCTGATAGAAAGAGAGAGAAAATGAGAGAGCTAGGGTGCTTTCCAACAAGAAGAGCCTGGTGTTAAACCGGTTCTACATTAGTTGCAAGCCGATCGCAAGCTTGTTGCAATAGCCAATCTGAAGCTTGCATTTTGAAATCAATGCTTTGGATTGGCTGTCGCGACAAGCTTGCGATCGGCTTGCAACTAATGTAGAACCGGCTTTACACAGGCTGCGTTCCTTTAGCCGATTCTACATTAGTTGCAAGCCGATCGCAAGCCTG